AATATGTGATGTTTAGTTGCAGATCCGAGAAGCACAGTGTTTGATACTTGACACAAAATCCGAAAAAACCATCCAGTCAAGCCGAACCGAAGGAACGATCCACAAAGAAAAATGACCATGCAGAGTATAATTCTCTGAATTCAGACCACCATGTTCGTAAGGTAGGCGATATATTGATTTCTTTTCCAGATTCTCAAGCAAACAGATAGACATATATTCACCATTATGTCTCTATGGAAACACGACAAGTACCCTTACGAGGGGAGAGTACCAACTTTGCGATCATAAACCCTCTCTGCAAAGGAGGTAGGCGCTAGATGGGTTAGGTATGTACAGTGTTTTTCATCGCAGAGAAAATTGTTGCTTATCTGCCTGCCTCGTATTCATTGAGATAGTTGATTAATTAATAAATTACGAAAATATATCGCATTCCAGTTACGAATAATGAAAACAATATGCAGACTCTTTATTCCATGTTTGTCTCACGATTCAAATTTCAAATTGATACTTAGTTTTAGATCCGAGCAGCATAGTATTTGGCATTCCAGGTCTCGATTATAACCCACGTAATGTGGAGATGTGGATGAACTCTACTGAGAAAACTTCTATTCGGAAACAAAACTTATATGTTGCAATCCAACTACGAACGTTGCAAAAATATTCAGGGGAGTTTCTAATTCAACATCCATGTATGTACAGCATCTAATAATGATCATCTTTTATTCATATGATTCGATATTTGATATGTGATGTGCAGTTGCAGATCCGAGAAGCACTGTGTTTGATACTTGAAACAAAATCCGAGAAAGCCATCCAGTCAAGCCGAACCGAAGGAACGATCCACAGAGAAAAATGACCAGAGTTTACTTCTTTGAATTCAGATCACCATGCTCGTACGGAAGGCGATATATTGATTTTTTTTTTCAGATTCTCATGCAAACAGATAGACAGATATTCACCTTTATGTCTCTATGGAAACACGACAGGTACCCTTACGAGGGGAGAGTACCAACTTTGCGTTCATAAACCCTCTCTGCAAAGGAGGTAGGCGCTAGATGGGTTAGGTATATACAGTGTTTTTCATCGCAGAGAAAATTGTTGCTTATCTGCCTGCCTCGTTTTCATTGAGATAGTTGATTAATTGATAAATTACAAAAATATATCGCATTCCAGTTACGAATGTTGAAAAGAATATCCAAACTCTTCATCCCATGTTCGTCTCACGATACAAATTTCAAATTAATACTTAGTTTTAGGTCCGAGCAGCACAGTGTTTGGGATTCCAGGTCTTCATTATAAATCACGTCAAGTGGAAATGTGGATGAAGCCTACTGAGGAAACTTCTATTCGGAAACAAAACTTATATGTTGCAATCCAACTACGAACGTTACAAAAATATTTAGGGGAGTTTCTAATTCAACATCCATGTATGTACAGCATCTAATAATGATCATCTTTTATTCATATGATTCGATATTTGATATGTGATGTGCAGTTGCAGATCCGAGAAGCACTGTGTTTGATACTTGAAACAAAATCCGAGAAAGCCATCCAGTCAAGCCGAACCGAAGGAACGATCCACAGAGAAAAATGACCAGAGTTTACTTCTTTGAATTCAGATCACCATGCTCGTACGGAAGGCGATATATTGATTTTTTTTTTCAGATTCTGATGCAAACAGATAGACAGATATTCACCTTTATGTCTCTATGGAAACACGACAGGTACCATTACGAGGGGAGAGTACCAACTTTGCGTTCATAAACCCTCTCTGCAAAGGAGGTAGGCGCTAGATGGGTTAGGTATATACAGTGTTTTTCATCGCAGAGAAAATTGTTGCTTATCTGCCTGCCTCGTTTTCATTGAGATAGTTGATTAATTGATAAATTACATAAATATATCGCATTCCAGTTACGAATGTTGAAAAGAATATCCAAACTCTTCATCTTATGTTCGTCTCACGATACAAATTTCAAATTAATACTTAGTTTTAGGTCCGAGCAGCACAGTGTTTGGGATTCCAGGTCTTTATTATAAATCACGTCAAGTGGAAATGTGGATGAAGCCTACTGAGGAAACTTCTATTCGGAAACAAAACTTATATATTGCAATCCAACTACGAACGTTGCGAAAATATTCAGGGGAGTTTCTAATTCAACATCCATGTATGTACAGCATGTAATAATGATCATCTTTTATTCATATGATTCGATATTTGATATGTGATGTGCAGTTGCAGATCCGAGAAGCACAGTGTTTGATACTTGAAACAAAATCCGAGAAAGCCATCCAGTCAAGCCGAGCCGAAGGAACGATCTACAGAGAAAAATGACCAGAGTATACTTCTTTGAATTCAGATCACCATGCTCGTACGGAAGACGATATATTGATTTTTTCTTCAGATTCTCATGCAAACAGATAGACAGATATTCACCTTTATGTCTCTATGGGAACACGACAGGTACCCTTACGAGGGGAGAGTACCAACTTTGCGTTCATAAACCCTCTCTGCAAAGGAGGTAGGCGCTAGATGGGTTAGGTATATACAGTGTTTTTCATCGCAGAGAAAATTGTTGCTTATCTGCCTGCCTCGTTTTCATTGAGATAGTTGATTAATTGATAAATTACAAAAATATATCGCATTCCAGTTACGAATGTTGGAAACAATATCCAGACTCTTCATCCCATGTTCGTCCCACGATACAAATTTCAAATTAATACTTAGTTTTAGGTCCGAGCAGCACAGTGTTTGGGGTTCCAGGTCTTTATTATAAATCACGTCAAGTCGAAATGTGGATGAAGCCTACCGAGGAAACTTCTATTCGGAAACAAAACTTATATGTTGCAATCCAACTACGAACGTTGCAAAAATATTTAGGGGAGTTTCTAATTCAACATCCATGTATGTACAGCATCTAATAATGATCATCTTTTATTCATATGATTCGATATTTGATATGTGATGTGCAGTTGCAGATCCGAGAAGCACTGTGTTTGATACTTGAAACAAAATCCGAGAAAGCCATCCAGTCAAGCCGAACCGAAGGAACGATCCACAGAGAAAAATGACCAGAGTTTACTTCTTTGAATTCAGATCACCATGCTCGTACGGAAGGCGATATATTGATTTTTTTTTTTCAGATTCTGATGCAAACAGATAGACAGTTATTCACCTTTATGTCTCTATGGAAACACGACAGGTACCCTTACGAGGGGAGAGTACCAACTTTGCGTTCATAAACCCTCTCTGCAAAGGAGGTAGGCGCTAGATGGGTTAGGTATATACAGTGTTTTTCATCGCAGAGAAAATTGTTGCTCATCTGCCTGCCTCGTTTTCATTGAGATAGTTGATTAATTGATAAATTACAAAAATATATCGCATTCCAGTTACGAATGTTGAAAAGAATATCCAAACTCTTCATCCCATGTTCGTCTCACGATACAAATTTCAAATTAATACTTAGTTTTAGGTCCGAGCAGCACAGTGTTTGGGATTCCAGGTCTTCATTATAAATCACGTCAAGTGGAAATGTGGATGAAGCCTGCTGAGGAAACTTCTATTCGGAAACAAAACTTATATGTTGCAATCCAACTACGAACGTTGCAAAAATATTCAGGGGAGTTTCTAATTCAACATCCATGTATGTACAGCATCTAATAATGATCATCTTTTATTCATATGATTCGATATTTGATATGTGATGTGCAGTTTCAGATCCGAGAAGCACAGTGTTTGATAATTGAAACAAAATCCGAGAAAGCCATCCAGTCAAGCCGAACCGAAGGAACGATCCACAGAGAAAAATGACCAGAGTATACTTCTTCGAATTCAGATCACCATGCCTCGTATTCATTGAGATAGTTGATTATTAATTAATAAATTACGAAAATATATCGCATTCCAGTTACGAATGTTGAAAACAATATGCAGACTCTTCATTCCTTGTTCGTTTCACGATTCAAATTTCAAATAGGTACTTAGTTTTAGATCCGAGAAGCACAGTGTCTGGCATTCCAGGTCTTGATTATAACCCACGTAATGTGGAGATGTGGATGAACCATACTGAGGAAACTTCTATACGGAAACAAAACTTATTTGCTGCAATCCAACTACCAACGTTGCAAAAAATATTCAGGTAAGTTTCTAATTCAACTTCCATGAACCGAATCCAATAATAACCATCTTTGATTCATATGATTCGATATTCAATTTGTGATGTTAAAAATATCACACTGAAATATCATATCGCAAGTATACCTACATAATATTATATGGTGAACTGTTGATGAATGATTTTTATTTGTTGATTTATAGAATTGACTTGAAATAATCTGAAGTTGAATGTAAATGTCTTTCAACCTATAAACGTCAAAAAATGTCCAGTGTAATTTCATGCTCCGTCCCCCAAGGAGGAAAAAATTTCCAAGAAATTTGTTTAGTTGCTATGGTAAGGATAGGAAATACAGGCTTTAAATTGATCGAAAATGTTTGGCGTGGAATTTTTTCAGGAATATGTCATTTAAATATTTCAAAGTTATTATATGTTACATCCTGTATATATTAATCTTTCTTTGATCCATGATGAAAATAGACTGGTGTAACCACTTGTCAATTGTTTCTTTCCAAAACGTGTAGACCGCGAAACACCGTAGCAAGGCTGCACCGGATTGACTGTAGATGGCGTAGGGAACATCGTGCCACATATACTTCACAGATATAATGAAAATTTCACGTCTTTTTCATTAAATCAATCACTTTTTCTCAATGTTTTTAAATTACAAATCAATATACGTAAATGTAAACAACAAAACAAAACAAAACAACCATTGTGTAGCAAGATCACTTCTGGAACAGCGACATCTAGCGTTAGTTTTGCGCGGCCTTACTACGGTGATAGAATTCGACATAATCAAGTAGGCCAGAGGTCTACAAAAATGTCTAGGGTTTTGTAAGAGGGAGCTATTTCACCATACATATATCCACCTTTCTTTGATCTTACCATCTTCACCTAGAGGACTAGGATTAAGTTTCTTTTTTCTTCCTGGCAGTTCTTTTATTCGTAAAAATTTGGCAGCAGGTGTGAAAGTGGCACCTGTAAGTTGATATTTGAATAATCAGAAATTGAACATCTCATACAGGCCATCATATGAATTATTCAAAATCATCCATATTTTCAAGCTTGTGCAAGAAATATCTATTTACATGTTTATACAAGTTGAAGAAACATGATGTATTATCATTTTGGAAAAGATTTGATAAATTCATGAATTAATGACAGTTAATGAGCAATTTTATTGGGAATAGATGACAATCACAAATGCGGCATTCTATCTCTGGATCTGTGTAAGGCCTTTGACACTGTAAATCATTATATTTTATTGACTAAACTATCATTAATAGGTGTCAGAGGCAAAATTCACGATTGGTTTCAAAATTATTTGAAGAATAGGAAACAGTATGTTGATGTGAATAATACTTGTAGTTCCTAGATGAATATTACATGTGGTGTACCGCAAGGGTCAGGTTTGGGGCCGATTTTATTTTTAATTTATATTAACTCAAAATCTACTTTAAGATTGAAAGGAAAACTAAAATTATTTGCAGATGATACAATAATCTTTACTCCAAAAGATTCTAACGATATCAATAATGATATTAAAAATGATTTGAAACAAATATCATCTTGGCTAACGACCAATAAGTTGACTCTTAATTATAGTAAATCTACGTATATGTACATCTCAAAAAGAACAACGGATATATTGAATCATACCCCAATATGTTTCAATAACAAATCCATTGAATATACAAATGTAACAAAATTTTCAGGTCTTTATATTGATGAACAGTTATCGTGGACTCTACATATAGATCAATTGAGGAAAAAATTGAATCCTATTGCTGGTATTATATATAAAATTCGAAATTTCATTCCTATTAGATACCTAAAGAGTATTTATTTCTGTATTTTTTATTCAAATATAGAATATCTAATATCTATTTGGGGAAATACAAATATTTCACGTTTGAAGCCACTCATGAAATTACAAAATAAAACAATAAAGTGTATTTTCAATTTACCTTTTTTGGAATCAACTGTGAATCTATACAAAGCTAAAGACTTGCTGAATCTAGTTTCATTATATAAACTCAAAATTTGTTGTTTTATTCATTTTGTCAGGAAAGAATTGAAAATATCGAATTTGAATTTTAATGAAGTAAACTTGTATTTGTAGTAAACTTCAATTCCATATCTACTAATAGTAATCATTCACAATTTGATTACTTGTAATAGATTATAATATTTTCATTTTATATTTTATTATAATTTTTTTCATGGAAAATAATAATTGTGCAATCATTATTGTTTTGATTTATTATGTTATATGTATGTTTTGTTGTATATATCCCTATTATTAACAATAATGTTTCTTGGGGTAATAAAGACAATCGAAAAATTATAATTGATGCTAAAACAGTAACAGCAACTAGGTATATCAAATTTCTTTCACACATCTGTTGAGTTTTATCCTTCCAGCAAAACAAGACATGCACAGTTATTATCAAATTGAAATATTCAGTCTAGAATTTAATCCAATGGTAGGTATATTGAAAGCTTCTGCTTAGTATAGAAAATACAAAAATCTCAAAAAAAATATTTGTGACACCCCTACTGTAAAGTAAATGAAGAAAAATATAGAAGAACTTATAGATGAGATGCCTACTGTGTTAAAACTGAGCTATCAAGTTTCTGGCAGGTATCTAGATTTAAATTCAATGCAACAATATGAAAGATTTTTGTAATTTCTACTGGCATCTGAACTTTTTGAGTGGTTTGTTTCTGGTTTATTTCAATATTATTAGGTGTTTCAACAGTTTTTCAATATTGGATATCCTTAAATGAAGCTAATGCAACTGGAATATTAATTTATCTCTATTAACTGAGGAGTGAGAGTGTGCTTTGATATTTCAGAGTTCAGATGATTAGGTACAGTGATATGGGGTGCATTTCTCATGTTCTACCTGAAGGCAATCCTTAAAATGTGACTCTAGTTTTAGAACATGGGAGCGAGTTGAAATATTTATTTTACTCACTTGCTGTGTTGATATTTGATACTATTACTATTAGTATTGGAATTATTACTAGTATTAGGTGTAAAGTTGAAGAATGTTTTTTTCAACATTTTTCGAAATCAACAGAATAAACACAGGAACAAAACGATAATGACACAGAACAAATCAAAACAAACAGGCATGGCACACAGAACGAAAGTTTAACCCAACATAGAACGCACAAAGAACCACAATTCGTTCCCGCGTTACCAAAATATTCAAAATTCAAATCTCAAATTATTCAAAATCTCAAAAAATTTGGATCAAATTATTCCTCCTGAATATAAGCACATGAGTGTGCTGAACATGGTCTCAGGGCTCTTTTTGTCTCATTTGTGTCTTATTCAAGATTCAAATAATGAGGAATACAAAATACAATCATCCAAAAAGTCGTATTTTAAAAACTCAAATTAGAAATCACCTATGGTTTCCGTAGGTTCGTAAAATATTTGCGTTTCCTTCTCAACTGTTGCTTTGGTCCATGATTTTTTGGCAAAAATAGGCGGGTATTGTATCGCTTGCTCCCTTTCGTACAAAAAACTGTTGGAGACTTCTTCTTCAAGTCTGGCAACTGGCAGCCATGGACTTTTCTGTGCAAACATTTTACCGAATGTTTGATAATCATATTCGGTGTTTTCCATATTCACAAATAATAAGTTGATGTTTAATCGATGAAATGTCATCGACTCATCAAGCTATCACCACGACAACTCAAGCAAAATAATCTAGCCATTCTATGATAGTACGAATTCTGTGTCATGCGTGGTGTCTATTTTCATCATGGTAGCACCTAAGCACCTGCACACGTAAAGTATTTTGTGGCGTAGCCAATCCAAGGCGAGAAGAGGCTCAACGCTCAACGCAAAAACGCCACTGACATAACTACTACCTAGACAGAGTGAAGAATGAAGATATCGATATCACAAGGGATTGTGCACAGGAGATCGAACGGTCAACATTGTCAACATGAATCATGCGCATTTAGAACCTATCATATATTTTACTCTGTCTATGTTCGGTGCCCAGTGCACAGTCATTTTCAGGCAACCAATTCACCCGAGATTTGCGATCTCCGCAAAAACACGGGTGCGTTTTTCATTCCAACATTTTATCATGCGCATGAATCGAAGAAACCATCAAACTGTTGCAAAATTCCGCTGGAATGTTGATGGACATCCATCAAACTGTTGTAATAAAATGCGCACTTTTAAATCGCTTTTCGAAAATCCAGCAGTTTGGAGGAGATTGACATGACAGTTGACACATTTTAGTGTTGTTTTTTGTTTTGATTGGATAGAAAACAATTAATATTGAGGATTTTTGATATTCTTGAGAGATTTTAGAAGAAAGAGTCAGTGTTAATCAATAAAATCGAATAAGCCTCTTCTGATTCTCAAGATACATGATGACTGACACACAACAAAATCCGTGTTTCCATCAATGTGTTGTATAAACAGTATGAACCATTGTTCAATCGTTCCAGCATAAATTCCAACAGAACAATTGGTGACGTCACGACAAAAAACCGCATCTATCAGTGCGCACTTTCTTCGATGGAATGAAAAACACGCCCGTACTATGTGCAATGGGCTTTAAAGTGTTTTAACTGTTTTGTGATGATCGAGAGTTAAAAGTCAAGATATTTGACATTAGTTTGAATGTCGATGTCATTTGTCATTCACAGCTGGTGGTGATGTGATTTGATTTTGATGAGCTGTCACAAAATGGAGGTTAGAATAATAAAAATTGTTCTCTAAAGAACAATTAATTATCTTTGTTGAAGTGTTGTTACGAATTCTTATGGTCAGAGAAAGGAAAAATAGTTGATGTATCGCTTCTGAAGTAGCTTTATCACATAATGGCTAGCCCTCGAACTCGTCGTGTTTTACAAGAGTTGAAACCCCATAATGAGAATGATGTAAGTTCAATTACCTTCTAAAAATCTCAACGTAGGTGGTCCGAACATCAAGTTATCATTATTCAACGATATCTCTGTTCTTGTTTTATGATTTTTTCAGAAATGCTTTGAATGTGGCACTCATAATCCTCAGTGGGTCTCTGTAACATATGGAATATGGATCTGCTTAGAATGCTCAGGAAAGCACCGTGGCTTAGGTGTTCACTTGTCATTCGTGAGATCAGTAACAATGGACAAATGGAAAGACATTGAATTAGAGAAAATGAAAGCAGGTGGAAACAGGAATGCCAGAGTATTCTTTGAAGCACAGCCTGACTGGGATGACAACATGACCATTCAACAAAAATACAACACTAAAGCAGCAGCACTCTACAAAGATAAAGTAACATTCCCTCTTTTTATCTTGCAGGACTGATATTTGTATTGGTTGTATTTGTAGATTGCAACTGTAGCACAAGGGAAGTCATGGGATGAAAAAAAATCACCAGCTCAAAATTTTGTTGGCAGTTTGGTCAGCCCTACACAAACAGGAAATTCAAGGAGCTTTTCATCTTCTAACCCTACAAGATCCTATTCATACAGTGGTGATGCTTATCAAGGATCCTATCAAAATATGAACCATCAAGAAGTTAAGAGCCAAACAGAAGCTTTTTTTGAGAGAAAACAAGAAGAAAATTTTACCAGAAGAGAGTGAGTAGATGAAGTTGAAATTGTGCAGCACACTAATTCAATATCAACATTATGATCACCTGAGAACAACTAAGACTACATTTTTTTAGGGATGCAATTTTTCATTATTTTTAAATTTTCCTTAGTGATATTCCACCCAGCCAAGGAGGGAAATATAGTGGTTTTGGTTATACCAGGGAACCACCTCCAAGAAGCCAGTCCCAAGAATTTGTTGATACTGCCATGTCTTCATTAGCCAGTGTGAGTTTTCATAAGATTTGACTCATAGACATTTTTGTATGGTTCATAGCTAGCTTTCTAAGGAATAAAGCAATATAATATTACTTTTTTGATATTTATCATTGTCAATTTGATTTGTTCACAGGGTTGGTCTTTTCTGTCAGCTTCAGCTTCAAAAATAGCTAATAAGGCAGCTGAAAATGCAGTTAAATATGGTGGAGTTGCAAGTCAGAAGGTAGTTGATTTGAGTTCACAAGTAGGTGACAAGGTTTGTTTTGTTTTTTTTTATTTCTTTCATTTGCCTTGACTTTTTTCACACCCATAACCATTTTTTTAAAGTTTGTGTTTTATTCATTTTGTTCAGTTACTGTGTGATGTTATCTATTATAAGTAGTGATGGGTGATGCCTGGGTATTTATGATTAAGGGTATTTACCATTTACCTGGGTAAATACCCAGGAGCTGAAGATATTTTGTATTTATGAACTTTACAACAGGAAACATGGAAAATTGCTATTTATTGCACTATTTTTGCAAGTTTAAGGAGGGGTTTACCCTCTGAAAAAGGTCAAACTAAATCTAAGGTGTAAAGGGGGAAGTAAAAATCCTGTCCGAAGGAGGCGGGGCCCGATAACGAAGGAAGTCGTCTAGTGTCTCACTCCAACTCATTCTAGCGTAAAATATTTCAACATTTATAGTAAAAGCGGCCTTGAGTGTTACCCCTCGAGGCTTCTGCAATCTGCGGTCGTCTGAATTCTCCGAATAAGTTCCACAGGCACAGCTTACAAGTTGTGCTTTAGGCAATATACATCAGTATTCCGTAAAAATATGCATAGGCCGAAATGGAATATGAGTATGGAGTAATGAAATTAAAATTGTTTTCAACATTATGATGGATATTTCGCATGATAATAATATTAGGCCGCATGCTAGTATAGGTACATACCCAGTGTTCATTTGAAAATTTTCCAACCGCCATGAGTAGAGTAGAGTAGTTTATTTGGCCATGTTATGTAAATTACATGTACGGCAAGTCATAATTACAACAGCCATAGTGCTTGAAAATAAAGATAATCTTCACCCTCAATCACCTAAGTGCAGAAATGAATGAATTATATTAAGAATACATGATAAGTATGTTAAAGATGGAACATCAAATGATTTGAATAAAATATTATGCCGATTTTTGCAATTTTCAGAAATTTTTCTAATTTTCAGGAATTTTTCCAATTTTCAGGAATTTTTGCAATTTTTGCAATTTTCAGGAATTTTTGCAATTTTTGCAAATTTTGCAATTTTCAGAAATTTTTGCAATTTCTGCAATTTTCAGGAATTTTTGCAATTTCCAGGAATTTGTGCACTTCTCAGGAATTTTTTCAATTTTTGCACTGTTCAGGAATTTTTGCAATTTTCAGGAATTTTTTCAATTTTTGCAATTTTCAGGCATTTTTGCGATTTTTGCAATTTTCAGGAATTTTTGCGATTTTTGCAATTTTTTCTAATTTTCAGGAATTTTTGCAATTTTTGCAATTTTCAGGAATCTGCAATTTTTGCAATTTTCAGGCATTTTTGCAATTTTCAGGCATTTTTGCGATTTCTGCAATTGTTAGGAATTTTTATAATTTTCCGGAATTCTTGCAATTTTTGCATTTTTCAGGAATTTTTCCAATTTTCAGGAATTTATGAAATTTTCACAATTTTTAGGAATTTTTACAATTTTCAGGAATTTTTGCAATTTTCAGGAATTTTTGCAATTTTCAGGAATATTTGCGATTTTTGCAATTTTCAGGAATTTTCGCAATTTTCAGAAATTTCTCCAATTTTCAGGAATTTTTGCAATTTTTGCTATTTCCGCAATTTTCAGGAATTTTTGCAATTTTTGACATTTTCAGGAGTTTTTGCAATTTTTGCAATTTTCAGGCATTTTTGCGATTTTTGCAATTTTCAGGCATTTTTGCGATTTCTGCAATTTTTAGTAATTTTTATAATTTTCCGGAATTTTCGCAATTTTTGCATTTTCCAGGAATTTTTCCAATTTTCAGGAATTTATGAAATTTTCACAATTTTCAGGAATTTTTACAATTTTCAGGAATTTTTGCAATTTCTGTCATTTTCACAATTTTCAGGAATTTTCGCAATTTTCAGAAATTTCTCTAATTTTCAGGAATTTTCGCAGTTTTTGCTATTTCTGCAATTTTTGAATTTTTCAGGAGAATCAGCAAATTTTCAAGAATTTTCACAATTTGCGCAATTTTTAGGACTTTTTGCAATTTTTGCAATTTTCAGGCATTTTTGCGATTTTTGCAATTTTCAGGAATTTTTGAGATTTTTGCAATTTTTTCTAATTTTCAGGAATTTTTGCAATTTTTGCATTTTCAGGAATTTTTATAATTTTCCGGAATTTTCGCAATTTTTGCATTTTTCAGGAATTTTTACAATTTTCAGAAATTTTTGCAATTTCTATAATTTTCACAATTTTCTGGAATATTTGCGATTTTTACAATTTTCAGAAATTTCTCTTATTTTCAGGAATTTTTGCAATTTTTGCTATTTCTGCAATTTTCAGGAGTTTTTGTAATTTTTGCAATTTTCAGGAATTTTTGCAATTTTTGCCATTTTCAGGCATTTTTCCGATTATTGCAATTTCTGCAATTTTTGCAATTTTCAGGAATTTCTTCAATTTTTCGGTTTTTTTGATAAACCCCTCTTAAAGTCTCAAAACTAGTTTTTCAATTTGTCAACCTCCTAAACTACCAATAACTATGACAAAACCAATGTTTAAATTGAACAACTCTTCATGAACTCATCAAAAACAACCAGTAGTCTGGGATCTGGTAATCTGGTACTACAAAAATGACACCCTTGACAAAAAAACTACAATAAACAACAAAGTCTATATTAAAAAAAAATACCCACTCAAAAACTTCCTCTGAATCCTCCTGTTTCCTCTGTAGGGTGGCTTTTATTATCAAGTAGTTTCTTTCTTAAACTTTTAGGACACTGCAGACACTCATTGTTTAGTTCATGTTTTTACATTTTGTTGACATTTTCTGTTTGTGTTGGGTGTTACAAAGCTGGACCTTTCTTTTTTACCATTTTATTCAGATTTGTGCAAAGAGACAAAGTACAAAAGTGAAAGTGAGGTTATATTATTGTTTTTCTTCTTCTTCTGCTTCTTTTTCTACTATCTGGCGCCATGTCAAACATCTTACTACGTTTACATGATGGTTTTGTGCCGCCAACAATATCAAATCGGTTTTTATAAATACCCACTTTTGGGTTGGTATTTTTATAAACACCCACTTTTGGGTGGGTATTTATCGTTGGGGTAAATACCCAATTTATGAATACCCAGTTACTAGGTAAATACCCATCGCCCATCACTAATTATGAGTCATTTATTGTTATGTGAATATGTTTCAATAGGTCACAGAAATTAGTAAAAAAGGTTGGAAAGAAATCGGCGGTTTGAACACCCAGTATTCTTCAGGTACTTATGATCAAGTTAGAGGTGAAAATTACTCTCAAGGTGAAAAGTCTTCTCTTGTAAATGGTAATAATCAACAACAGAGGTCAAATGATTGGAATGACAGTGGGTCAAGGTAAATTGCATTGATTTTATATTTTACTTTGGATATTTTTCTATTGTCGACTTGCAAAATTCCAAATTGCTGCAAGCTGCAAGTTTAAACGTGCATATTTTCAAATTTCTGCAAGTTATATGTTGCAAAATTTCAAATTATTGCAGTCGTTCATCTTACAAATTTTTGAATTGTTTCAAGCTGTAAGTTGCATACATATACAGAGTGGGCCTTTGAAAACGAAACAGAGGCTCTGTAGGTCGCCAAAACCGGATTATCAAAAAAAACTGAAACAGGTCAACTACATTTTCGAGGGGGACATCTTTCTAAAATATTTTCAGCCCTGCGGCGTTGCCGCTTCTAAAGAAAAGAAGCAACAACTTTGTTATTTCAAATGGAACACCTTGTATTTTATTGCATTTTTAGATTCTCCCCGAAGGGCTGATTTCATCAATGCATCACACTTAGGGTCTAGCTGTAATGGTTTCAGGGATATAAAGTGTTCAAAATCGAGATTTTTCTGACATTTTTTGTGTCGAAACTATTCATTATTGGTCGAAACGGCTCTCATGTCCCGATCTCAACTTGTGATTTACTATCTAGAATTCTGAATCTTGAACCACCCTGTATTTGTTTCAAATAAATGTCAGTAGATAGTAAATCACAAGTTGAGATCGGGACATGAGAGCCGTTTTGACCAATAATGAATAGTTTCGACACAAAAAAATGTTAAAGTTGAAAAATCTCGATTTTGAACACTTTATATCCCTGAAACCATTACAGCTAGACCCTAAGTGTGATGCATTGATGAAATCAGCTCTTCGGGGAGAATCTAAAAATGCAATAAAATACAAGGTGTTCCATTTGAAATAACAAATTTGTTGCTTCTTTTCTTTAGAAGCGGCAACGCCGCAGGGCTGAAAATATTTTAGAAAGATGTCCCCCTCGATAATGTAGTTGACCTGTTTCAGTTTTTTTTGATAATCCGGTTTTGGCGACTACAGAGCCTCTGTTTCGTTTTCAAAGGCCCACTCTGTATTCAAATTGCTCTGATAACCAAGTTGCAACATTTCAAAATGCTGCAAGTTTTATGTTGCTTATTTTTAAACCACTGCAATTTATAATAAGCAATTTCAAAATGCTGCAAGATAACTTGCAACATGTTGAGTTAGGTACTAGAAGTTGAAAGGGGAATATTCTTAATCACAAATTTATAGGTTACCAAATTTCAATTTCAATATTGCAGATTATGTGCTGCGTAATTCCAAATAGTTGCAAGTAATAAGTTGCATATTTTTGAGTTTCGGTAATTTTGCACTCATCATGCGATGGTTTTTTTTTTCGAGAATTTTTTTTTGGTACTTGCCTATTTTTGTCTGAAATACACGAATTTGATAATGAAAATGGGAACAAACCATTATTTATTAAGATATTTCACTATAAAGTTACAAATTTCACCTTCTTTTCCGCCTGTCTTCTGGATCACATTTAGAACAATTCCCTTCTTTTTCCATCATTGGACAATTTATATATATCACACAATGTTGGACACATTTTTTTTTATTATATGAGTCAACTAGAAATATGATTTATGTGATTTATCCATGTTGAGTGAAAAGAAGGAAGAATATCATTTGAAATAATGACGTGTGTTATGTCATTCCAAAGCAATCTATTGACATTTGACATCTCGTATTTGGATTGCATATGGATTAAATGGCCGTCATCTGGTATGCTTGCTCGCTAAATAGGAAAAACTCGCCATAAAAATCATATTTCCTGTTGAATTTTCTATCTTAAAATGTGTCAGTGAAGTACATCATGAGTATATAAAGTGTCCAATGACAAAATGAGAAGAGCAAGTACCTGTAAATGCATCCAACACAAGGGGGAAAAGAAGGCAAAATTTCGAACTTTTTCTTGAAATATCTCGATAAATAGTGGTTTGTTCACATTTTCATTATGAAATTCGTGTTTATCAGACGAAAATACGTAAGTACCAAAAAAAAATTTCGAAAAAAACCCCATCCCATGATAAGTGCACTTTTACCTTGAATTGTTTCAAGTTGTAAGTTGCTGTGATAACCAAGTTGCAACATTTCAAAATGCTGCAAGATTTATGTTGCTTATTTTTAAACCACTACAATTTATAATAAGCAATTTCAAAATGCTGCAAGATAACTTGCAACATGTTGAGTTAGGTCATTGTCGATCTAAATGAAAACCTAGTAGGCGACCTAGTACGCGAGGAGGTACAATATTGTCTGTTCTTTGAATCAAAATCTGTCTGCCTGTCAAGTGGCGCTGGCATCCTGAAAATGGAAAAAGCTCATTTGTTTATGTCAAAATAGACCATATTAGGTTGATATTGTCTTCTTCTATTTTTTTCCAATATGTTAATCAACCACAGATGTGCTTTCCATCATTGACGTGATATTCGATACAAAGGCGATGAAGAAGATTCTTTCATGAGATTGAGATGTCATAATCAAAAAATCATTTTCTGACAGTTGTCATTAACTTATAATTTCGTCTTTGTGAATATGTTGAACTTTGAATTCGTATTCTTGAAAATTACAATTATTCCTAATTGTTTCTTCTAGTATTAGTTTTCTATTGCAGTTTGTTGATTGGTTTGTGAGTGCGATTGTGTTATTTTGCAATGTTATCTGAAAACTTCGCACTCCAGGAGGTGGAGGTGTAAAATTATCAAGACCTGGTTTCTCCTATCCCCACTGTTGTGAATTTGAGCCTCAAATCCTGAGGCATCAATGAGTTTATGTCATATTCATTGGATTGCAAGGTGAAATTTTTTTCTTAAATCGTATAATATTTGAAACTTGATGCATTGATATTTCAGGAATGGGAGTTTTTGAAGTGAGCGAACATGATACTGTATGTTTCCAACATTTTAAGGGAACTGTTTCTTGCCAATGAAGAATTGGAGACGGTTTTGGAAGGAGGGTTCGGTTCCAAGTTTGTTTAAGGAAGGTATATATAAATAAAATGATATTTAACAAGTTCCTACCTATACAAACTTTTTGTAGCAATCAGCTTATTAGTTTCTAGTTGACTAGAACTATAAGTTTCAGTATAAAAATTACCAAGAACTTGACTTTGGTACCTCTAAAAATTGTTCCAGTCAATTGTCATTGAATTCATTTCAGAATGGTACAGAACATTGAAACTGGGGACAAAATAGATATCAAATATTTTTATAGTTTCAGACTCATCAATGTAGTTTGGAATATGATGCTGAAGAGAAACTCCTTCCTTAAGGAACACGACCTGAAGATGAGGAAGCATCTTAGGAGGAAACGGGCATTTGAACAGATATTATAGAATGATAATAAATAATAATAATGTTTATTCAAAATTTTGAAAATATAAATTAAAAAGTTATACATATTGGTATTGAATATTCCTATGGTTTAATTTGTGGCAATTATAGACACATCTTCTCATATTTAGTGAAGTTAGTGGCTTCAATAAGATGATTTTATAAAAAATAATCATTGTTCAGCAAAACATATATTTAACCTAAATACTTACCTTTGGTACAATATATAATGTTTTCAAACTTACCTGTCAATAAATCTGTACAACAATAAACAGGGTATCAGAGGAGAACAAATTAGTAGAATAAAAATTGCAATAATTCTTCATAATTATATTCAATTTATTAAAAAAATATAATTGTATTGTCATTCCTACATATAAAAGTTATTTTCCAATAAAAAAATTCTAAATATCCCAGCATCTTGATATTTTGAGTTTGGAGCAGAATATCCATAAAACATTGATGAAATAAACAGATTGAGTCTAACCTTATTGCTTCTATATATTCATTTCAGATGGGAAATTTTCCATTCTGTTCTCAAACATCATCATCCTTCTGGTACATTTCTTCTAAACATTACTCACATAATAATTCCTCATGCGATTCTTCCACATCAATCTGTTTGTATCACTCATAGTTTTTCGTTTTTCAACTGAAAAGCTATTCATGTAGGTACTCTTCGCTGTAGGTAGGTACCTGAAATTTTCAAGTATAGTGAATCCGATGTGTACATAGTTTACATAACTAAAGACATGTTTTCACTGCAAATAACGGAATTTCATGAATTATATAGTAACTTATCAAAAATATAGAAGGAAATAAGCAGCCCCTACCTTTCTGCTTGGCTTGCATGTCGAAAAAGTGTGAAAGCACTGATGAGTTTCCGAAGTTTCCACAGTTCCAACTTAAATTCAAGTTGCATCATAAGTCAACCTAATACAGCATTGCCTAAACATCTCCCTGCTTCCATTCAAGTATAGGTAGATGGTTTTCATACTTGATAATATCTTTCATGATAATGTTTCATTTTTGGGTTTCAACATGACAGATTTTTATTTACAAACTTGACAGGACCATGAAAAATGTTTGGGTTAGGAATAAAAAAGGAATAACTTAGTTTACTTGGTTCACATTGATGTCTCTGTACTACTGAACGCCTTCATTTATTTTTTCAAAGAACAGACAATATTATGCTCTCGCCTACTAACTACCTAACTAGGTGTCCATTTAGATCGACAATGGTTAGGTACTAGAAGTTGAAAGGGGAATATTCTTAATCACAAATTATTAGGTTACCAAATTTCAATTTCAATATTGCAAATTATGTGTTGCTTAATTCCAAATAGTTGCAAGTTATAAGTTGCATATTTTCAAGTTTCAAGAGTAGAATGAAACTCAAATGAAATAATCTCCACATGCAAAGTTTAGTTTTGGAATTTTTGAAAAATGTTTCAGTGCAATCAGTTCCACGTCTGGAAATCAGTCTTGGAATGAAAGTAGTGAAATCTACGGAAATAATACTAGTAAATCACCGAAAGAACAAAGGTCGGGACAAATGAGAAAAACGGAAAAGAAACAAGCAGAAACATCAACTAAAAAAAATTGGAATGATAAATGGGGAGATGATGAGCTATGGGAAAGCTTGAATAAATAATGAGATTATTGAAATTGAAACAAACATTGGTTCTATGTATCAACTCCAAAATGTAAAACTGTGAGTTTAAAAAACTAAATATATCTTATGGAGACAAATGTTTTTTGATTTCTAAGAATTTTACCCCAGAAAGCAGGAAAACTTAAGGACATTGAAGAGAAACTCATTCTACATCTGTATGAGGTTCTTTATTATAAGGTAATGATGTCACAAAATGATGACCAACACTGAACTACAGTATTTTCAGTAATAAATTAACATTGTATCTTCTTTCAATGATTACTAGGAGAGCATAAACAATTGAACAATATGTGAAATTTTTTTCAACAATGAATATACAATCATCAAAACTTTCAGGAGAGAAATCAAATATTCAAATGCAAATTCAAGGATATCACAACATAAATCCATAGTTGAAAATAAATTTAGAATCCAGTGTAGTCAATACCCAGCACTGAGAAAATCGTGATTATTAAATTATAGGAATGTCTATAATATGCCTCCAAATTCAAAGGAACCACAAAAAATAAATAAAATTAGAAGCCCTTGAAATCGTAGGAAATCAAATGAAATTGATTCATAATCTTATAAACACAATAAAACTAATATCACAATTATTTCACAACTTAATATACATTATGTATAATCTTATAATTCAAAATTAATAATTATTTTATACTTTTTACCTTTTTCCAATGATTAAAATTAGCATAAGCCACCTTCATAGTCATCTTCAGTGGCGTCAGTATTTTCGGACGTTTTTGAATCTTCTTTCCCAGTTTCTGTGTCTCCAGTGGAAAGAGTAGAAACCTAAGACAAATAAACAAATGATACTGAGACAAATAGGAACATTTGACAGCTGACAAAATTATCAACAAGAAAAATATATTTCTTCTGCATTGAAAAAGTGATTAAAATCGTTCTAGAAACATTCAATGGGCAACAAGATTCTTCATGTATGTCATGGAGAGCTTACTACACTATCTCTATACTACTGCTACTACTTACTAGTAGCAGCGGCAATACTGCATTGTCGAAAATATTTGTAATGAAGAGAACGTATTCTAAAATTTAAGCTTGCACATTTTCATGGATTTCTCCTGACATGGGGAGCAATTTGAACAAGATTTTCAGTTTCCTGGCATATAGTGGTCTAGTAATTATGTCAGTGGTGAATCTAATTCAATGTGTTCTTCTTCTCAGCGAGTTAGAATCGAATGGTAATAGATTAGCTATGAATTTCGAATAGTAGTAATCACGTAATAAAGTGCTAAAACGTAATAGATCTATTAATTGGAAATCCTGAAAACGATCCAACTACTTCTACAAGAGTCTAGCTAGACCATCAAATTTTCAAACATCGAGGTCAAGTGACGTCACCCACAACAAATTATATTTCTTCCTTCTTTATATTGTAAAACTAGGACTACTATGAGTAAAGCGATAGTTTAGTGGTCTGTGTATCTGACTTCCAATGGAGTTACTGGGGTTCAATCCGCGTGAGACGTAAATTTTCTGTTGAATAGTTAATTTTCCTATATTGAAGTTCTCATCTCACTGTGAAGTTTAAAAAAAATTAATATATACGTATTTCTTCTTTTTTTCGCAAGATCAAATTTCACTTCAGAAAAAAATAAATAAAAGAGGAACTTGGCTCCTCCACCATTCCTATGACGTACTTTCTGAAAATCCACATTCACACAGGGTTGAAAAACGATTCCCTGTGCCAGTACGACGTTGCCGACATCATCAATATGTCTAGATTTCCGGAAATTGTTCTTTGAATGCATAATAACTATATCATAACAGCATTGGGATATAATAGGTTCTTTAATCCTACTTTGTCAAGTATTATGAATAATTCCCATAAATCTCTCATTGGCTGAATGAAGTTGATTACTAATAAAGATTATGATATTTTGCGATAGTATCTATAAATTTTCACTATCGTTTATTACAATAAGTTTCTTCTTCTCTCTTCTTTCCTAAATAAAAAGGATCTATTTTCTATGAAAGTTGCAGATTATATCTTGCAACAGCACCTAATACTTCGAGTCCGTCCACACCACTCAAAACTCAAAATACTGACAGGCACAACAAGAGGAAGGAGCCATGGGTGTCGGATTCATTTAGTTCTGACCGACGACAGTGAATTAGGAGGGATAGTATCATTGAATGTAGCCCATAGTGATTCATTGATTCAATGATATTTTGATTCAGGATCGAGCTCTATTCGAGATATTTCAATGCATAAATAACAAAACCATGACCTGTCAGAATGAAGCCAGCTACTCTCTGTATTCCTGTCCCGAGTGCATTTGTGGTTATGTATGTTTTTGTTTGCCAGTTTCACTTCTTCTATTTTTTTCATTCGTTAGCTATTCGCTAGCTATATTGTTCATCATCAGCTATTTTCAGACTAGATTCAGAATGTACGTCACAGTTTGCCGCCCCGAAAATTAGAAATTGCTTCAATTTGAAAATGAAAACGACTTGGACTTTATCGGTCGCCATTCTGAACAGCGTGGACATAAAACTGGAGAGTTCCGAACTTATTTTATGAAAATTCATCTGAAGGAATCTTCCCCATTGTTTTTCACTCAATTAATTTTTGAAAAATATACTTTTTAGGAAAAAGGTTAATTTAGGACAAGTGAGGTTGAAAGTACTTTCATTTTTCATGCAGAAATGTTATTTTCCTTCCTCATATTGCCTTATGTCTTGTAAACATGAATAACTTAATGATAATCTTGGGGTTTGAAAGATTCGCTGGTCTACTTCTGATTTTATATAACAAAAATCCAATGTTTGCCCTCGCAACAACCTGTCAAATGAGGTAATTCTGGCATGACTGATTACCTTCTCGATCAGACCCTCTGACATCTCAGGGGCGACCGTCTGCTCCTTCTTGACCACAGGCACAGTCATCCCTTCCGGCAGAGGCATGTCTCTGGCGAGAATGGCGTACTCGACGTCCATGTGCTTGATGAAGGGGCTGTTCAAAGCCCTTTGGGCGCCCTCCGCGTCTTCCTCGTCGTAGGCCTGCAGCAGGGCTTCGAGGGTCTGCACCTCGGCACCCTCACAATAGTTTCCTACAGGGGGAATGAGGGATGGGTTGGGTCGTTCGCTTCAAGGTATTTTTTCGCGAGTTCCCGTTGATCAGCCACCGGTAACAGACGTTACCACCGATACAACAAGGCCTGCATGCTCCGTGGGTGACGTCACTTAATGAGGCCTAACCAGCGGCTCGAAACGACAAGCGCTATAAGGCGACCGCGTATTTAGATTTTAGTTTGCCAGTCGTCAACTGAGCACTACTTCTCACCCCATTCGATTTTATTATGGAAAAACGAAGTTTTAAAGCAAAAACCAGGATAAAACACAAATGTCCACCTACAGCAACCCATTCGAATTAAATATATTGGCAAAAATTGTGGTGAAGGTAAACTTCACACCTACTTATACAGGGCCCGCAGAACATAAACTTATCGTGAGATTGATCGAAAAAAAATTGTGGAAAATGTATTCCGAATATCGAAAAAGTTTACTTGAAAAAGTTGTTTCCATTCAAATTTTACATATGTGACTCGGATTTTATCTTTCAATCACATTTTTTAGATTTCGATATTTTTTTAAAATTTTCGAAATTTCTGTAATTTAAAAAAAAATGTATATTCGATAAAACTACTTCATACCAGTAGCTTTATCATTCTACTTACTTTCAATTACTAATTATCACTAATTATCGACAAAAATATGATTTTGTTCAGAAAATGATAATCTCCGCTTCAAAATTCTGTTATGTTTGATGCAAACATAACATCAAAATCCTGTTATGTTTGAGTCAAGCATTTAGAAACTAAATTCATTCAAATTTATTTTTTCAGTACTGATATATCAACTTTTCATCAAACATAACAGACTTTGGAAGCGGGTATTATCATTTTTTTTTTAAATCATATTTCTGTCCATAATCAGTGATAATAAGTAATTGGAAGTGAGAAGCACGAAAAAGCTACTGGTATGAAGTAGTTTCGTGGAATTGACAATTCTTCAAATATTACACAAATTTCGAAAAATTAAAAAAAAATCAAAATCTAAAAGTTGCAATGGAAAGATCAAATTCGAGAAGCATGTGTAAAATTTAAATAGAAACAACTTTTTCAATTAAACTTTTTCGATATTCGAACAAATAAGCCTACTTTCAGTGATTAATTTGAAAAAATGTCACTTTTGACATGTAGGGAAAGTCACGTGATCCCGATTGAGTAGGCCGTTTCGCATCTTTTTTGAAGCAAAACTCAATGTCCAACTCGAATTCCAAAATAAGTCATTAATAAAAGTTTTTCCCATATGATGCCGACTTTATGAATGACACTGTATAGGTGTTCTTGTTGGTGTTCTTCCATTTCTTGATTCAAAAAGTGAGTATTAGGTATCTCAAAAATAGTTTGAATAATTATAAATATGTTTACTTCTAATAATAATATAATACTTTAAAAAATAATAATACAATTTTTTTCTTGTAAATTACTATAACCTCCAGTAACCATGTTCACGTCGTTGACTGCAACTGAATATCAGTTCCCGGCAAATCAACTTGATCTCGCGAAAAAATACCTTTGGGTCCCTTGATGTAAATTGACGTATTTGTCATGTTAACAGGGTACGGACAGATCCTCGTCTCCTCTCACTCTAAAGTGTTTGTGAAACAGTTAATTGTTCCATCTTAATCCATTTCTGGGGATAAACACTTCTGAGCAGTTTGTTTTGATGATATGACCAATAAGCACAAACAAAAAACAAATGTGAACCAATGCAAACAAAGTAAACATGCCGCTTTGACAGCTTTCAAGAACTCCGATAGGTGGCGTAAGCTTATTTTCTATCGCGAATACCTACCTCCTCTCCCTATCCACCTCGCTCCAAGCGATAAAAAAGTAAATAATCAGAAATTTTCCATGTATAAACATTTCAAGTACTTACACTAATAAGGAAAGAAGGATGCAAAAAGAATGAACTGATGTTTATGCATAAAACTCTCGATTCATTGATGTTATTTGGATATGAGTAGGAACTAGAAATTCATCAGTGCTGTGATAAAGCATAACTGTTTGCACTTTATCGAAATGAAGGCATGCAAGATAAGAATAAGAAGATAGGAACTGCTTATTTACTTTTATAATGTTAATAACATCCTACTATATTATGTTCATTACTGAAATGTCAATTCATTATTATAAAATGAATAATACCTATGTGGCTCAAGAACAAACTCTTACCTGATGTTGGTGAAAGTCAATTGGAAATCATTGCATGTTGCCTTAGACTCATGTCATCAAAGAAATACCAAAATCAAACAAACCACATAGCAACAATCATCTTGAAATTGTACAAACAAATCAAAATTATCCATTTAAACAGATATTATATTCATGAGCTCCGTATAATGTTCAAAGAACATCGTGCGTTCCTAGGGAGGAAAGGGACAGGAGGCAGGTATTGGAATTTTTTATGAACTTCTGGAGATTATATGTTTTACAATTCCTTGATGATATAGATAACATGGCGTGGATGAATCTCGCTAGGTTCAGTCTGGTGCCGTACCATATTTACTTGCATCATTGTGAATTGTGACCAATGAAGATAAGGAATACATTTTGCGATTTAGCCGCATCAAGGTTGGTAGAACTGATGTTGATATAAGTTCTAGGAATCACGCCATCTAACATTAAATATGTGAACCCCACGTCATCGTCTGAAATTTAATTGTTTAGATCAAGAACCAGTCTGACAAAACAAATTAAGAGTGAGTGCACCAGAGGTTTATTTCATCAATGATCAGACAACCTCTCGCCTACTCAGTTTTCATTTAGAACAACAATGGTTTACCACTAGAAACATATCAGTCAAAATTATCCGAATTTTACTTGATAGCCAGCCATGAACAAACTATTCAATAACACATGTTAGGGTTAGTCAGGCTTAGCTTCTGGTGCATTTTTTATATTAGGGAGGACACTTGAAAAAAAGGCCAAACAAAAAGAAAGAAGAGACCTTGGAAAATCCCAGCCTTCATTCATGTATTATTTGATGAACTTCCAACCTACCCCACTCTTTAAATGCTTTTTCTGCTGCAACAACATCTCCTCTTGTTAACTGAACTAATACTAAAGCTACCGTTAAGCGACCAGTTGCTTGATAAGATTCGTTCTGTTCATGCAATCCCATTTCTCTTCTTATGGCGTCTGCAGCCAAGTCATATCTGTGGAATGCCACCATTTGAAAAAATATATATATGAAGAAATAATGTAGTATTATGATTGATAATCTATCAGGACCTAAGGTTATCCAAATTAGATTGGATGCTATTTCAGGCAAACATTGATTACACTTTTCATTTGAAACAATTGAAATCAGTCTAAATATCTGAATAATACGACGCATCTGAACTGGCATCCTATAAAAACTTTTTCTTGCACAAACATTTGCAACTGTAAATTGGGCAGAGGAAACTTTTTTCAAAACACCTCCTAATTTGCAGTTGCAACTGTAAATTAAAACAAGAGAACTTTTTTTACACATCTTCTAATTTACAGTAGGTTTGTTCGCGTTCACAAAATTAATAGTCCGGAACCATCAGAAGCATGTGCAGTGACAAAGAAGTGTTGGCGTTTTCTCAGGACTGTTTCGTATTCCACCGATCACGTGTTTTCGTTTTATAGGAACTAGTTTTAGTTTGGGATATTTCCCAAATCGGTCCAAAGCAGTACAAGCCTCTGGGCAAGTACTGCCCATGACTGTCGTGAATAATTTTGGATGCGCATGCGTTTATGCAACCGATTCTTAACCTCTAAACGTTCTTATGTTGAGAGTTTGAACAAGATCAAGAATGGAATAATCAGAAAAAATCCAGCTCATCGTCCTATCTTCAAGTTCAGATAATAACAAACGTTTTTGAACATGTTATCTGCTGGAAATACTCAAGACCCATCTGGAAAATGGTGGTTTTGATCGAATCTGTACTCAGAATAAGAATTCAGGGATCATTTTTGGTATATGTGGTGTATGAATATTTCAGTGGGGAAGGTTTATGTTCAGGTCTTAGATTTTGGGATTCTTCCATGTTAAGATCAACATAACCCTAACCTAAATATACCCTCGATTCACGTGAATCAAGACACAGCATATTTTCGAGAAAGATGATGAGAAAACGGGAAAACGCTGTTTTCGTTTATCTGGTTTCAAAACTATCCCAGACTTGTTTCGGATTGAATTTGATGCGCACCTGATTCTGCGCAGTACATGGACCGTTTCAACAATTTGGAACAGGAACAAACCTAGTTGCAACTGTAAATTAGAGTCTCATAGTCTCAGTTCTCCCTATTTCTAACCAGACTACCAGACATAGGCAGCTTTCATTCTTCAGTAGCACACAATGCGCTGAGACTGTGAGACTCTTTGCAACTGTAAATAAGGAGGTGTTTTGAAAAAAGCTTTCTCTAGCTAATTTACAATTGCAACTGTAAATTAGTGCTAATTTTCAGTTGCAATTGTAAATGAGGCAGAGAACACTTTTTTTTTTCAAAACACATCATAATTCACAGTTGCAACATTAAATTAGAGTCTCACAGTCTCAGCGAATCGCGTGCTATGGAAGAATGAAATCTCCCTATGTCTGGTAGTCTGGTGAGAAATAGTGAGAACTGTCCCTTGTTCTAATTTACAGTTGTAACTGTAAATTGGACAGAAGAAACTTTTTTTATATCTCCTACTTTACAGTTGCAACTGTGAATTAGGGCTAATTTACAGTTGCAACTGTAAAAGAGGAAGTGTTTTGAAAAAAAAACAGTTTTCTCTGCCTAATTTACAGTCGCAACTGTGAATTAGTGCTAATTTACAGTTGCAACTGAAAATTAGGGGATATTAAAAAAAAAGTTTCTTCTGTCCAATTTACAGTTGCAACTGTAAACTAGAACAAGATAACTTTTTTTTACACATCTCCTTATTTACAGTTGCAATTGTAAATTAGAGTCTCACAGTCTCAGTTCTTGCTATTTCTCACCAGACTACCAGACAGGCAGCTTTCATTTTTTGGTAGCACGTGATGAGCTGAGACTGTGAGGCTCTAATTTACAGATGCAGCTGTAAATTATTGCTAATTTACAGTTGCAACTGTAAATAAGGAGGTGTTTTGAAAAAAGCTTTCTCTAGCTAATTTACAATTGCAACTGTAAATTAGTGCTAATTTTCAGTTGCAATTGTAAATGAGGCAGAGAACACTTTTTTTTTCAAAACACATCTTAATTCACAGTTGCAACATTAAATTAGAGTTTCACAGTCTCAGCGCATCGCGTGCTACCGAAGAATGAAAGCTGCCAATGTCTGGTAGTCTGGTGAGAAATAGCGAGAACTGTCCCTTGTTCTAATTTACAGTTGCAACTGTAAATTGGACAGAAGAAACTTTTTTTTATATCTCCTACTTTACAGTTGCAACTGTGAATTAGGGCTAATTTACAGTTGCAACTGTAAAAGAGGAAGTGTTTTGAAGAAAAAAAACAGTTTCCTCTGCCTAATTTACAGTCGCAACTGTGAATTAGTGCTAATCTACAGTTGCAACTGAAAATTAGGGGATATTAAAAAAAAAGTTTCTTCTGTCCAATTTACAGTTGCAACTGTAAATTAGAACAAGATAACTTTTTTTACACATCTCCTTATTTACAGTTGCAATGGGCGTGTACACCTTAGTAGAACTTTTAACTCAAACCATGTTTATAATGATCCTTTTATACATAAATAATGATTGACGACATAATTCGATCGAAAAATTAACTGGAATGTTTTATTTTTGGACATAAATGATAGTACCTTCTGAAAACGGAGACCCTCTTATGACGTAGAAACCCCATCTCGCCATATATATATATATATATAAACCATATATATCTACTACTGATATATGAATCATAGCTCTCCTCAAAGCGGGACCCATTTCTGTCTCTGGCTATATTCCGAATTCAACTGGCAGTACTGAATCTGCTGATTTTCCATTCCGAAATCAAAAAATTCACTGGAAGTGACAGATGCTTGTCAGCAGATATACTATTCATTCCAAATATTTCGACTCAACATTCTGCTGAAATTGCTGAGTATCAAAAGGTAGTGTGGCTTCAGTGAACTGTCATATTTTAGAGGGGGAAGGAATGTAACATTCATTTCCGTTATTAATGAGATGATTCTCAATATCAGAAAATACCTGGAGTATGAAGTAGTAGAGCAGGTGAGGAAAGGAGCAGCATTGGCTAAATAAACTAAATAAACCTGGAATGTCTCCTAAAATTCATCATTATTAAGGCATATTGCGATTTTCATGAATCTCAATTCTCAATCTGGTACATCATGAGAAATTTGTGGCAACAAAATGTCCAAGTATTCTTCATCACTCGAGCTTGAATCGCCATCGTCAACAATCGTAGAAAGTATAGAGGATACAAGAATCGATTTCTCTTCCATGTTGAATATTAAATTTCCAAAATTTATAACAAGTAGGAGGCTAAACATCTAGTTCAGATAAACGAGACACTACTACTGATGAAAACCATGAAAACGTGTCCCGAATTACAGTAGTGAATTTTTGATTTTATATTTCGGAACACAGATTTTCAGCAGAGTCAGTGGATCAACTTACAGTACTGACCAGTTGAATTCGGAATATAGCCTCTATAGGTAATGAAATCGACCAATAGGCGTTGATACCGACGTAGGGAAAAAATAAACTAGCGTCTAGCGCAAGGAGGTATTCCCATAAACCACGTAGTGGGAGAACCGCGCCAAGCGAGACGCGGACGCAGACAAACATCACCTATGCCTTCATTTTTATCGACATGCCCGACGAACGTTGGAGACAAGGAGCGAAACAATAATGTAATATTATTATTGGTAGGTAAACAACCAATACCCTTAATTGGCGCCGAATTATGTAGAGCCCGACCACGATAACTTTGGGACAGCACGTGGTCGCGTATGCATTGAATATGCATATGCGTTGCGTCACATGCTGTCCCAAAGATAACGTGGTCGGACTCCAAGGGAAGGAGTGTATAGTCGGTTGACATACAACTATTTTCAGGATACCTACTCATTTATGTTATAGTTTGGTCAACGTGCGTTTCACACAAATGGAATTATCAAACTGTTGTGCAGAATGTACAAAAACGTTCAGCTGTTTTCAAAGTCTCAGAAGGCATTGTTTGAAGTCTCATCCAACTAAGATAGCCCCATCAAAAATAAGTGGGAAAGTGTACAAGTTTATTTGTGATAAATGCAGGTTTAAGTTCAATATTGAGAAAAATTTTACGGCCCATAAAAAAAAATGTTGCAATTTACCTAGTGCGGTGAAATCATCTGATTGCCCATTATGCAATGAAAAAATTATCAATGATCAATTCGAAAATCATTTGAAGAATTCGCATGACTTGACTTTGGTCAAGGAAAATCTTGAAATTCCATCTTATGAACAATTCATCGAATGGAAAAGTGACATAGAACAGAACGATAAAACTCATTTCGTTAAGAATTCTGGAACGAAAAGATCGTCCAAATTGGAGATTCAATATTTTTATTGTCATCGCTCTGGATATTTTCACTCAAAGAGCACTGGAAAGAGGCAAGTTAAAATACAGGGCAGCAACAAAATAAATTCAAATTGTCCTGCTTCTATTAAAGTGGCTAAGGATATCATTACTGGTACATGCAACATTGTTTACGTGAAAACGCATGTTGGACATAAGAATGAACTATGCCACTTAACCATAAACGAGAAGCAACGTCAAGCTTTAGCTGCTAAAATTGCCCAGAAAATTCCTTTTAGTAACATCTTGGATGAGGTAAGTGGACACGGAATAATATTAGAAATATGAATACAGGGTGAATCGGGTATATAGGTGCTTATTGTAACACGTTCATTCGTTAGGTAGGTATGTTCGGATAGTTTTCACAAGATCTAGCAGACTATCTCTATAGATAGATTGGTAGGTATCAAAATCAAATGAATTAACATTATATTCCATGTACAGGGTGATTCACCATAAATGCCCCCCCCTCTAGCTCGGTTATTTTTGAACCGATCGCAAAATTTGAAGAATCATTTGATTAAGTTTTTTTCCGCTATATCAGAAAATACAGGGTGCTTGGAACAAACTATCGACAGAGTACAAGTTGATTTTTTTAAAAGGAACACCCTGTATTTCATTGCATTTTCAGATAATCCCTGAATAGCTGATTTCATCAATGTATCACACTTGGGGTCTAGCGGGAATGATTACAGAGATATAGGGTGTTCAAAAATCGAGATATTTCAAATTTAAGTAGGATGTTTTTCTGTCGAAACTATTACTTATCGGTCAAAACGGCTTTCATGTTCCTTTGTTAACTTATGATTTTTACTATCTACTGACATTTAATAATTGGAACAAATACAGGGTGATCAGAATTCTGAATCTTGAACACCCTGTATTTGTTTCAGTTAACTGTCGGTAGGTATTAATTCAAAAGTTGAGAAAAGGGACATGTAAGCCGTTTTGACCAATAATAAATAGTTTCGACAAAAAAAACCAAAGTTGAAAAATCCCGATTTTGAACACCCTATTTATCTGTAATCATGTCCGCTAGACCCCCAATAAGTGTAATGTATCGATGAAATCAGCTCTTTAGGGAGAATCTAAAAATGCAATAATGTACAGGGGTGTCCCATTGAAAAAACCTCTTTCAGTTCTCTATAAACATCTCATAATTTGTTAGGTGAATGATTCTGCATATTTGAATATGTTCAAAATCACATTATCCACCGCCTCCTTCCATATATACGTCGGTGAATCGAACACCTTGTATATTTTGCAACTATTTTCGATTATATTTTCGTGTTTTTATCTTTCAAATATACATAATATATGTACATGTAGCTATTCTGTATATTTTTTTACCGTTTTCGGAGATATGTATGAGGTATATATAAATATATATATATATATATAGAACTTCACATTTTCTCCAGATACTCTCTGCGATGACCACGTCATTCTGACCATCTACCAATTTTGGATTTTCGAATGGAATAATACATTCTGTACATTATTCTATCACTGATTATGGGTTATACCATTACGATACCACAAATGACAATATATCAACTTATTTGCCATTATCACTTGTCTTATTATTAGTAATTAATTAAAGAAAAAATGTATTCAGATATTCAGTTTCTTTATTCATGATGTAAACTTAAATGCTTAAAGAATAATATTGTATTTTATGAATACCTATAATAGGTATAGGTATCCCAATTTTATTTTCTCATTTTATGGCCTCAATCTCCAAATCCTCATATCAGTATTCAAAGTGTTAGTTTTGTGTTATTAGACTTTAAATCACATGTGTTGTCAGCCGCGCGTCGCTATAGGTGATGGGCACAGTTGATGTTTGCCCGCGTCCGCGTCTTGCTTGGCGCGGTTCTCCCACTACGTTGTTTATGGGAATACCTCCTTGCGCTAGACGCTAGTGGGAAAAAATAATAGGAAATTTGTCAAACCAATATGGCTGTTTCCATCCTTCACTTTTCGTTCTCATAGATTCAAAGAAGATTCAAAGAGTACCTCTCATTTTGGTCCCATTTTTGTTGAGATATCTTATAGGCGATGCGCCATATATAGAAATAGTAGATATATGGTTGAAACTGACACTCTCCTGACACTTATTACTGTTGCCATATCATCCAAACAAAATATCCGAGAAATCGAAATCGATATTGAAATATCTTTTGATATCCACGACCACTACTGCAGAAAAATATATTCGAGTTGTCGATTGTAGGTTGAATCATTGGAGTATAAACAATCTCTAGACAACGAAATGTCTCAATCTCAAAACCATTTGCACCATTACAATTTCACAATAATCCAATATATTTCATAAACATAGCAACATTGCTTTGTTGACCCGTTTCACATGGAGCTGCAAAAAGTCAATCTAGGTTAGAATTGATTTGTCAGAAATCATGTATCATTCATCTCTGTCTGGAATAGTCTTGTTTCAGTATTAGGGTTTTGACGTCACATCATCGCCTCGTTTTCAGAGGTCCGAAAAATCGGGGATTTCAATAATTTTTTATAAAACGTAGGGAGCTCACAGCAAGAAACGGTTTGCGGTGGTGAGCTAGTTTGGGTGAGTTCTATCGAATTATGAAATAAAATTTTTTTGTGATATAAGCCCATTGTAAATTAGAGTCTCACAGTCTCAGTTCTTGCTATTTCTCACCAGACTACCAGACATAGGCAGCTTTCATTTTTTGGTAGCACGTGATGAGCTGAGACTGTGAGACTCTAATTCACAGTTGCATGAGCTGAGACTGTGAGACTCTAATTCACAGTTGCAACTGTAAATGAGGCAGAGAAAACTTTTATTTCCAAAACACCTCTTAATTTACAAATGAGGCAGAGAAAACTTTTTTTTTTCAAAACACCTCTTAATTTTCAGTTGCAACTGTAAATTAGAGTCTCACAGTCTCAGCACAGCACTTGCTACTAAAGAATGGAAGCTGCCTATGTCTGGTAGTCTGATGAGAAATAAAGAGAGGAGAGAACTGAGACTGTGAGACTCTAAAAAAAAAGTTTCTTCTGCCTGATTTATAGTTGCAACTGTGAAGTAGGCAAATGTTCATGAAAAAAAAAAGTTTTTTTATGATGGTAGTTCAGAAGCATGATAGAATAATAAAAATTTCATAGGTCAATTCTGAAAAATCCTGGAATTTAGCAATTTCTTCAACCACATCCAAAAAAATGAAATTTGTAACTTCAATAATAAGAAATATCATAATTTAAAATGTTCTTGATACCAACCTGAATGAAGTGAGAATTGTGAGTTCAGAAACTTGTGGAGGCAGAAATGGCAACTTCAGAAGAATATATTGGGTTGAAGAAATTTTGATATTTCTCTGAAACTATCAGAAAGGAAAGGAAAATTCTGACCCCAAAATTGTGGAATATTCTTTAAGGTTACTTGGTTAGAATATCTCCATCCTATATTCATAAAGAATGAGACCAAACAAAATAACTGTAAAATTTGCTGATATATCTTATCTTACTTACTGTTGTAATTTAACATGTAACCTTGCAACTTTATTGATATATTCTGCAGCTTGTCTGGTACTATCTTGAATCTAAAATAATAAAATAAACCATCTTGTTCATCATAACTCTTGGAAATGACTCATGTATGACATTACAGCTTCACTGGAAGGATGCCAAATCTTAGCAATAGTGAGATATTGTTCAATGTACCAATTCAGAGAGACTTAATTTAGGTATATAAACTTACCATGACTACTTCAGCAGCATGTTGATACAGTTTGAGAGCATCTGCAGGGTGCTGGGCTTCCAGTATTTTTGCAGCCTTATCAAGAGATGCTGCTGCAGATTCAGCATTTCCCTGAGTTTGGAACATATTGGCAGCTCTTTCTGCAAAACTAGCCACTTCTCTCAGATCACCCAGCTCCTTACATACCAGTATACACTGATCTAGTGCTTTAGCAGCATAAAACAATCTATCAAAATGGTTAGGGAAAGGTTATAGGTAGTATTTTTGAGCAACAGCAATTATTATTGAATTTTAAACAAATATTGGTGGAAAGGATACGCTTTATTTTGTTTGAAGCATTCAACTGCCTTCAGTAAACAGTCTTTGCATTGTTCATGTGATTTTGCAATACGGAAACATGTAGCTGAAAAAATACATATCATGGAATACCATCATTTTGTATTTGAAAAGAATTCTCCAACCTGCTTTATTGTATTCATCAGCAGCATTCTCATAATCTGGTCTCCATTTCAAGAGAGAAGTCTTGAGACTGCAATGAAAAATATGTTTCCACAGATTCCTAAATCTCTAAATTCTCTTACCTCTTTTCTGCATTTCTAATATGCTCTAGGCCTTCCTCAATTTTTTTATTGGAGCTCATTATTTCTTTCTTGAATGATGAATAATAATACCTATAAATAATAAATATTGTTAGTTTGTGACAATGACAAAATTTACTAATTCTAACCCTACTTTCAGAACTTTCTACCAGTGTTGCATGTTTCCTATAAATGTCTCTCGCCAGTCGTCCAAACAGTAGCTTCCTGCTGTGCTGCGGTAACGAAAGAAGTAAATGACACTACGGTAAATCTCAAGGTATTCAGAAGGTTATAAAAGTTATGTCATTATGAGGAGAGAAAATATCTTTTTTCTGTGACAGGAAAAAAGTTTGGCATTTCATCTCTGTTGGCAGGTTATAAAATGTCACTTTTCATAAATTACTTTTTTCCTGAGGAAAGAAGTGAGTACTTTTTTCCCGGATATATATCACATAAATATACACTGTTGATTGATTTTGTTGTGCTATAGTTCCGAAAAATGAGTAAATAATACCGTTTACGAGAAAAAACTGCAAGTCCTTTTATCTTCCATTCGACTTCGCAGTTACGTATATTACAAAACAACCACTAAACAGAATCAGACTGACAGAGAAGTGACATCAGATATTTGATTAGTTCAAAAGAATGATAAAGATGCCTACAACGCAGGTGTCCCTATTGTTAAAAACTCAAAATTTCACGTCGATAATTTTCAGATTTCAAAATAATGTAATATCTTGTCAATATTGATTCCTCCTTTCTTCTGTCACCGCTACGCGTCGGGTGACAACACAACCGCTAAAGTCTACTACTTTTTTCCCTTGTATAATAAATAACTATTTCTGGATGAAAAAGGGGCATAATTTCAATCTTAGCTGGCCTAGATGGCCCTCTTTCTTGAAAAGTAGATATTTCTTCTTTCTCTATAGACAAAATTTTCGTTTACCTTGATAGCTCAGTGGGATGTCCATCTGACTTCCACGTTGGTCGCTCGTGTTCAACTTTCTGCGAGGGGTGAATTTTTTTGTTATATATTATTATTCATATCTTCCACTCGTTATTTTTCGAAAGAATATACTTTTCAGGAAAAAGATCCATTTAGACCGAGAGAGGTCAAAAGTAGTTTCCTTTTTTATGCAGAAAAGATGACCTTGAGATTTTCCGCAGCACGGCAGCAAGCTACTAAACTGAATGACTGGCTAGAGACGTTTGTACTTTCCTGAGCATTGACAACAGCTATATTCCGAATTCAACTGACAGTACTGAATCTGCTGATTTTCCATTCCAAAATCAAAAAAATTACTGGAAGTGACAGATGCTTGTCAGCAGACATACTATTCATTCCAAATATTTCGACTCAACATTCTGCTGAAATTGCTGAGTATCAAAAGGTAGTGTGGCTTCAGTGAACTGTCATATTTTAGAGGGGGAAGGAATGTAACATTCATTTCCGTTATTAATGAAAGGATTCTCAATATCAGAAAATACCTGGAGTATGAAGTAGTAGAGCAGGTAAGGAAAAGAGCAGCATTGGCTAAATAAACTAAATAAACCTGGAATGTCTCCTAAAATTCATCATTATTGAGGCATATTGCGATTTTCATGAATCTCAATTCTCAATCTGGTGCATCATGAGAAATTTATGGCAACAAAATGTCCAAGTATTCTTCATCACTCGAGCTGAGTCGAGCTTGAATCGCCATCGTCAACAATCGTAGAAACTATAGAGGATACAAGAATCGATTCCTCTTCCATGTTAATTATTAAATTTCCAAAATTTATACCAAGTAGGAGGCTAAACATCTAGTTCAGATAAACGAGAAACTACTACTGATGAAAACCATGAAAACGTGTCCCGAATTACAGTAGTGAATTTTTGATTTTATATTTCGGAACACAGATTTTCAGTAGAGTCAGTGGATCAACTTACAGTACTGACCAGTTGAATTCGGAATATAGCCTCAAGTCAAATGTTCCATGACTCCAAGACAGCCATACATTGTGATGACAGCATAATAATAATATATAATTATATATAGCAATTTCAAAATATTATGAAATCGGGAGAAAATAGAAAATCCTTCCTATGATCACATCAGTTATGATTCCTTATCTAATCAAGATTATTGTTTGCTAAATATCCCCTGAATCATACATACATAAATTCCAGTGATCATTCTTCAGATTTCGGAATCATGAATCAGTCTGAACAACAATTTATCAACTTGAAAATATAGGTATCACACTGTGGTACCACACAAGCCACAGTATCAGAAAACCCCTTGAAGTATATTCCTGAAAGGAGTACTGTCTTGTTATCTGAGGAGTTCTGCTGCATCTGAATGTTATTGAATCACCTGATTGGAACTTATCAATCAAGAACGTCAAACTGATTTTTTTGAACTAAAATGGATAATACCTAATCTTATCATATTCACAACAAATAATGGCTAGAATGCCATAAAATGATCAAAGATTAGAAATCATTTAGGTATTACAAGAAACTACGCCCTGCTTAATATTTCATAATTCCTGAAAAATGTCTGAAATGCCCCAAAGTGCAAACTACACTATGCACAAATTGAAAACATTAGGCAAGTGTGGAAGTTTTACTTTCTAACATTCAACCTACAAAATACCTGTTTAATTTTAGTACTTATATCATTAACAAGCTGCAAGTAGAATATAAAAAATATATTTTTTTCAGATCCCCAAATCCAAAACCTGATAAGAGAAGCAGTGGAGGCAAGAAACTTTGCTCACTGTCCATACAGCAACTTCAAGGTGGGAGCTAGCCTTTTGTGTGAAGATGGAACCATATACAGTGGATGTAACATTGAAAACCGATCATTCACTGTTGGTATTTGTGCTGAAAGATGTGCCTATGCCAAAGCAATCAGTGATGGAAAAATGAAATTCAAAGCTGTAGCTGTAATAGCTCAACAAGAAAAATTCTTCACCCCACCGTGTGGTGCTTGCAGACAATTCATGAGCGAATTTGGAGAAGTTGATGTTTATATATCAAAGCCAAATCATGAGAATGTCCTAGTCACTACTTTGGATAAGTTGTTGCCTTGCCAGTTCAAAACTGTGGATAATTCATTTTCATAAAAATATCAGATGAAACAGTAAAACACCTTAATTTATTATCTTAGATTTATTGAATAATGATGGAAATAAAGAACATGGAATTGAATTAAATATATCTGTAATATAGAAAAATATGTAATATGTAAAATTATATACAAGAGTTAAATGGAAATCTTCAAAGTTTTTAGAATATCTGTGCTCAATGAGTAAGTATGCATTTTTGTCTGAAGCTAATCAAAAGATTATAATAGGTACCTGAATAAGTGACAATAATTATAGATAACAAAATACTTTCAAAGTGTGAATCAAACCACTTTTATTAAGAAACATTACACCTGTCTCTAGAATTTCTGTTGGTTGCAGTCACAGCTTGAGATTCTGAAGCTTGCAATTGTCTTGCCAAGGCCAGATCTATCTCTTCCTGGCTCTGTTTTGAACATGAATCTTGAAGAGACAAAGCCAGAGCCCTGGCCAAGGCCTCATCTTCACTCATATTGCCTTGTATACTTGGAGAGTCCACACTATTCTGTTGGGGGATGGACATCCAGTGTCTTTTGACTGCACTTCCTTCACAACTGTGATCTGTGGGATGTCTATGTTTGATGCAAAAATTCATCCGGCAAGCATCACAAACAACTGGAAGGAGCTCTTTGTTTTTACACTTCTTGAAGGTGCATCTGTTTGTAAATACTTTTCTTCTGGACTTGGCTGGATCTGACTGGCAGTCACTGTCAATGTGTGCTCCCACTACAACATCCGGAGATAGGCCTCTTCCAACGGGAATAGGCTTACTGCAAAGGGGGCAAACAGGCACTTGATTGTTTTTCATATATGAATTTGAGCAATTGTGGTTACTGTAGCTGTAATGATCTTCACAAAATAATAACTTGCAAGCGTCGCACTTTATTGGGAGGAAATTAAGTTTTTTGCAATCGCTGTTTGAACACTGTTGTCCTAAATGTGGCAATTCCATTTCAGAAATCGGTAAATGCAAATATCACAATAAATTTTTCGTCTAGAACAGCGTCACGATCAAAACTTTAACTAGTTCGTTGACTTCAAGTCCAATTGCTTTATATAGCCATGGAGCATCTAGCTAAACATATCTACCCGTAAGGAAGTTCTAGGTGGTTCTAGATTAAAAAGCAATAGTCATTGTATCAATGCATGATTAATGATTTTTCCAACTTCCATTTTCATATATATATATGTATTTATGATGAATCAGATGACTGACAGATGCCATAAGAAGTGACGTGGAAGTGAAAGTTGCGTGGAAGTGATGTGCCATGACCATGACCACAAAAATCACAGAATGATGATCTCAACCTTAGATCACAGAACAAAATGATTATGGTATTATCTGTTCTTAGATCATATCATGTACACATGATACATGATCATGTACAAATAGAGGCTGCAATAACGGGTCGTGGTTCGTGCATATACGTATTAATAAACAATACGGATCATAACGGGTGCAAGGATGAAGCCAAAAATATGAAACAAATGAATATCCATAAGGATTTGATGGCATGATACGCATGCGCCATGCGCTATTATAGTAGTCATCAAAGACATGCGTTTCGGTGGACAATGACGTTTACTAGCCTTTCAATCAAAGCAGTATGTGTCTGATCGTTTCAAAACTTTTCCTTGTGGATAGTCATTTGTCTTCAAAAATCGGCTTCATGTTTCGCTATGGAAACAGATAGAGATTATCCGTATTGATTATTAACCCAGCCAGCACAAAGAGGTCCTAAAGATATCTTGAACAAATCCTTTTAGGAAATTGTGATGCCTTTTGTAACTTCTTTGAGAGATCGCCGAGAGTGCTATATCTATGCCAAATGTCCGCCACCTAGGCTGAGCTCAGCGAGGTCTTGAAGATATCGCACGCAGAAATTCTCATACAATGCCCTCTGGCGCGCACTTTGAGATATACGCTTCCATCGCCACTGGCGATAACTGAAAGTGCTCGCAATCATGAGCTGCTTGAGAAATTCGCATACATTGCTTTGTGACGAGGACATTGGGAGATTCGCATCAATTGCTTCTGTCGAGGTCTCTAAGTGCTCGCGACTAGGAGCTGTTTGAGATTTTCGCACGCATCGCCTTGTGAAGAGAAGTTTGGGAAATTCACATCAATTACTAATAGCGAACTCTTCAAGTGCTCGCAACTATGAATTGTTCAAGAATCCGTGCACATCACCTTATAACGAGGCCTTTAAGAGCGATATTTGCATCAATCGCCACATGATCGCCACTAATATGGTAAGGTGTTCAATGTTTGAGAAGTCATTGGTTATCAGCAGTCTCCTGTCGGCGAAGTCTAACTAGCGCCAGCTATATTGTTTGGGGTGGAGTTGAAGTTACTGGATATTTATTTCAGCGAAAAAGATTGAGTTACCAAACTTAGAGTTAGATCAACGTAATGAGCTTTAATTATATATTATTCTATAGCAAGACATTGATCAAGTAAACTTTATCACTTGAAAAAATCTCCGAGGAGTTGGCCGGGTATCCTTTAAGAAAAAAAGGTCGTCCGATATCTACCCACGAATTTGAGGTAGATATTTGATTCTCGATCCCACCTGAATTAGATAATTTTTGTCTTTTTCGTCAGAGCAGATAATTCATTAATTCACTGCAAAATTTGAAATAATCAGTAAGAAAATCTAGTATCTAGTACACAATTATTATTATCATAGATTGATGACTCCCATTTCATGTTAATACTGGGTGTCCCAAGTTATCGTAAAGGTACCGGCAAAAACTTGCTTACTCGACAAGATGAACAAAAAATAGTAAAAATGCTTCAAATGACATCAGAGAACTTTCTTTATGACTAAAAAAGAAGTGTATAGGATTGGACAGCCACCTGGTAGCAACTCCTCAATTTTCATTTAATGGACTCCCTGTATATTGTCATTGAAAATTGCCAATCATCCTATTTCGGGAATGAACGATAGCACATCGGTACTTTGTATTTTGTTCATTGATAACAACATTAACAATAAAATTTTTTGACTTCATTTACGTTACATCGATTGAAAATTTCCTCCTCCCATGTTCGTAAAAATGTCCCACAATGAAATTAGATTGATTATTACACTTGGTAGGTACCGTCTGCAATGATTGATGTTCTGCAGTTCAAAATGGAATATCTGTCATTAATATTTTGAAACAAAAATGCAATCCATATTTCTTATTTGTGAACTTCTTGAACACATGGGTGAAAGCAATATATCATTTGAGTATCGTAAAAAAGTCACAAAATGTTCATGTTTTTGTTGTTATCAAGAACAAAACACAAAGTATGTGCTATATCGTTGTATTCCAAATAGATCGACACGCAATTTTCAGAGACAATATGCTACTAGATCAGTATCTACCATCCGGGGGCTGCCAAATATATCACATTCTTCATAAGCCATTAGGAAGGTTATTTAATGCCATTTAATGCAGTTTTTTAATGCTTTTGATATCTTGACAAATAGGCGAGATATTGCCTGTAAACGATAACTTGGGACACCCAGTATTTGAATTATAAAGGCTATTGAAAAAACAACTCAATATTTTTGTAGGAAAATTCATTAATTATTCAGGTTATGTTTGTGATTACTTTAGGAGCTCGCAATGAGAAATTCTCGATCTTGTTACGTCCAGGATATCCTTGGATGCTCGCAGAAAGAAATGCCTATTCATTTCCTGTTATAGATAACCTCAAGGATTCGCAATAATGAGGAATATATCAAATCTAAGGCGAGATCTCCGCGATTTCTTTCGGACGACTCCAGAGAGTATTTCCCATGGTGACAGCCTATAGTGATCTTTGATACCTCGCAGAAGGATTTCGCATTTTGATCCTAAAGATAACTACTTAGAGATATCGCGGAGAGTACCGTGTTACCTGGGAATACGTATATGGGTTCGTGGTGGTAACACAGGTGGTAACACTGGTAACTTTGTAAATCATACAGTTGGCCTTTCAGGTCCCTACAAAAACTTACCACATATTTCTTAGACCAAAACAATCCGATACAAGCAAACTTGCCTCAGTACAAAGTTTCTTTTAGTTTGGGCACGACTCTGATCGAGAAGTTACAATTTTCGAATCGTTTTTGCTTCATAACTCTGAAACGGCTCATGATATTCAATCCAAAAATGTGATACCTTGGCATAGCTTCATTGGGCTATGAACATGAAACCCATATATACCCATATCATATGTTTATGACATAGAGACTTATTGAAAAATACGTGACGTATCAAAGTTATACATTTTTTACGGGACACCCTGTATTTCATTGTATTTTCGGATTATCCTTTGTGAGTTGATTTCATCAATGCATCACACTTGGGGTCTAGCAAAATTGATTACAGAGATATATAGAGGGTGTTCAAAAATCGAGATTTTTCAACTTAAGGATTTTTTGTGTGTCTTTATTGGTCAAAACGGCTATCATGTCCCTATTACTTTTGATTTACTATCTACTGATATTTAATTTGAACGAATACAGGTTATATTAATTGGTGGTTCATGATTCTGGACTTTGAACCACCCTGTATTCGTCTAAGGTAAATATCAGTAAATAGTAAAACGAAAGTTAAGATGGGGACATGTGAGCCGCTCTGACCAATTAATAGTTTCGACATAAAAAATTCCTCAAGTTGAAAAATCTCGATTTCGAACACCCTATATATCTTTATAATCATTCCCGCTAGATCCCGAGTGTGATGTATTGATGGAATCAGCTGACAAAGGAGAATTCCAAAATGCAATAAAATACAAGGTGTCCTATAATGAAAAGTATCACTTTGATACACCACGCATATTTGAGTCACCCTGTATACGCGAAGTAATTTAGAAATATGCTGTTCATGAGCCCAGACCATCACATTTTATTCATCTATCTCAAACAGGGAAGCCGTTATGTCACTTTCCCATTTCAATGACTCACACCCTAGCTAACTGCTGTATACTATATATCTACAGATTGGTATACCATTCTGCTGGAACCAACAATCCTGAACTTCTGCCACTTCAAAATTGTTCAGGGCTGCCTCCATATCATTTTGGAGTAAATTCGAATAACTCCTTCAACAGAAATTATTAGAAATTCAGGTCCGTTGTTCCAAAAATCACTTGATGATGGTCAAAATAATACCAATATTCAATATAGGGACGTTCTATAAACATTCGGAATGAAATGTTTTAAATATTCTGAGAATATTCCTAGTATATTGAACGAGAAGGAAGAATATTGAGAAAAATGCTTGCTCCGGTGGAAATGCGAAATAACTATCTTGTGATTGAATTTTCACGAACCTGAAACCTTACCACTTCAGCCAGGCTCAGTTTCGATCATACCTTTGAAGTGGTTATAAAAAGCCGCCCTAGGTACGGTTCCGCTGAGCCTCAGAGCTGTACAGAGGGTCCCTTGTTTGGTACACCGATGGTTCGAAAATGGAAGAAGGGGTAGGCGCGGGTGTATATGGACCCAGATGTAGGCTATTTGAAGCCTTAGGTCACTCCCCCACTATCTTCCAAGCTGAAATACATGCCATCAACCTTTGCGCCCAAAGGTGCCTGAGCAAAGGTCTGAGGGGTGCCAACATATATATGCTCAGACAGCCAAGCCACACTAAAAGCCCTAAAATCATTCGTTTTCACATCAAAGATCACATGGGACTATATGGGACTGCTTTGAAACACTCATGCAACTGGGAAAGGACAACAAAGTCACACTTATGTGGGTTCCAAGGCATGAAGGAATCAAGGGAAATGAGGCAGCTGATCGCCTTGCAAAAAGAGGTGCAGCATCTGCACTTTTTGGTCCTGAGCCTTTTTGTGGGATAATCAAATATCCTAAAGGAAGAACTCAGCAAATGGGAAGAAATTGAAAAGTCCTCCTACTGGAGAGCAACTCCAGGTCAACGACAAGCGAAAAGGTTCATCAACCATTCGCAGAATCGAGCCAAAGAGCTACTCGACAAATCAGAGCTGAAGCTTATCACAGGCTTTCTCACAGGACACGGCCCTCTGAGGTACCTCCTCAAAAAGATGGGCCTGGCGGAGACTGACACTTGCCGCTTTTGTAACAATGCGACCGAAACCGCGAAATACATACTTTGCTCATGTGAAGTATCAGTCCGCCAAAGGCTGAACCACCTAGAACAGGTCTATCTCACCCCTGCTGAGGTGGAAAATTC